TAAATTAATTTTAAATTTATTTATAAACTCGTATTTATAACTTAATGACAGCATATCACTTTCTACTCTACTTAAAATATTCATTATTTATATAGAAAGCCCATTTGAGGATCATTTTTCAGCCACGTCTTTTGGCTGTGGCCCACATTGTTCGATTTCTGTATTTCTTTTGGGCCATTTGTACTCCCGGTTGCCCTATTGCTACCGCAGACCAACATTTTGTCTCTTGTTGGCTAATATTTCTTTTATTTGCTGCTCTCCTTTCGTGTGCCCTCAATGCGAGCTGTGCCCTTCCCTACTTTTGCAGAGCACGACCGCCCACATGAAAATCGATATTGCTTCCTGACTTTCTGAGCTCATTTTTTTTTTTGTTCGGTTCTGTTCTGCTGCCTTTTTCTGTTTTTGTGGTTGGCTTTTGCTTTTTGCGGTATCCTTGGGGAATATTTTTCAATATTTGCATGTAAATCACGAAAAGCACGTCAAATTTGTTTGCTTGGTTAAAACGTCGTTATTGCGACTCTCCAGCTAAGAGCCAAGAGCAAGGCGTTCACATTGATTGGGTTAGGCAATAAAAGCGAGCAGGAGGCAGCAGCAGCAGCAGCAGCAGCTGGAAAAGGCAGTTCACTTGCTCAGTTAGCGTGGGAGTGGGTGAGGAGTAGGGGGGAGCAGGGTGCCGTTGTCTCTGTCAATAATAAAAACATAAGTTGCCTATTTCTGATGTTGTCAGCGCAATTTCTGTCGAACGTCGTCAGCATTACGCATACGCAATGTCAGCCCACTTACACAGAAAGGGGTAGAGCTTATCAAATATGAAAGTCAGTCAGGTTTATACAAATATTGTGGGCTACTTATTTGCTGTTGCTTAGCGCACAAAAACAAAAGCATATTTGCACTTGGCTGAATACACAAATGCGAGTGGCTAACAACAAAACAAAGAAACAATAATAAATAAGTCAAACACCCGGGTTGGCTTTAATATAAGTTAAAGCGAGAGAGCAGTTCATGAGAGAAACAAATTAGAAATTAGAAATTAGAAATTTATGGCACTAGAAATGTTGGTTATATTCTTTTTTATGTTTTTTTATCTTATGTATTCACCATCATATTATAATCATATGATTCTATAATTTATGTTTTAAGTATGTATTAGTTTTTTCTAAACAAAACAAAAAATAAATAAATTTTTGTTTCTTACGAATATAAAAGCCTGACAATTTCAATAAAATATTCAGCTATATGAAAATTATAATATAAATATTTTTCAAACACTTAATATATGTTACATCATTTTGCAATATATACAGAACACAAAGCTCATATTTAAATTTATATCTTATTTTATATTTTTGCGGTGGATCACAATACATTAGAGAAGATAGCACCGTATTTAAGTATCGATACCTAGCAATGAGTTTATCGATACTGCATTATAAAACTATTGCGCTCGACGAGAATGTTATTAAGGGAAGAAGAAGAAAATGTAATTCACAATTGTAGCAGATTCTTGTGAATGATTAATGTACAATTAAATTAAACGTTTTTCATTTTGAAACTAGAAATGTTTTGTACATCTAAAAATTTCCTTGCATTTTTGTTCATCTAAAATTTCATCTATATTTCTTTGTAATTATTTTTATTTAATCTTTCTCTTATATTTGTTTATTCTACAAAAAGGTAAAGTTTCATCATCATATATATGTAGATGCCATGCCCAAGAAACTTAAAAAAGATATTCAATTATCTTCTCTTCTTATCATATATCTTTCATAACGAGCCTTATGAATATTAATATGGCTTGCCTGGCCGCCAGAGCTCAAGCATATCTATCATAAATCTTCCACACACACATATATATACAGATATGTTTATGTGTGTGTGCCTTATAAATATTGCCTTAACGGTCATTTATTAACTCATTATCAGCAGCTGGCATTTTGCACCTTTTCAGCGCCTGTTTAACGCTTGACTGAGTCACGACCTCGAATCGAACCGTGCCGAGCCGTACCGAAACTGAAACTGAATCGAAAGCTGAGCCGAAAGCTGAAATCGTAGTTAGCCTGGCCTAGAACTCTTGGCCGTGCCACTGAACCTGACACTGATTATGACTTTGATTAATTTATTGATGGTTGGCGTGTTTCCTGCTGTGCTCAGCCATAGCCACAGCACCTACCGGACCGCCCTCTGTGCTCGCATTAAAAGTTTTGTCTGTATTTTAGGTATTTCTTCTTTTTTTTCTTTTTTTTTTTTTTTTTTTTTTTGTCGAGGAAAAATTCGCTTTCGTGTTCACTTTCCATGCAGGGAAAGACTTTGATTTATGTTGATTTATAGACATCACTTTAAATTTAATAAAAGTCATGCTCGAACAGGTTTGAAACTAAGGCGCAGAGCAAATGCGCTTATTCACTTTGCAGATTAAAATGAAATGAAATGAAATAAAATAAAATGCAAAAAGTAAAATGTAATTTACGTAAAAGCAGCTGCTGCTTCTCCCCCCTTTTTTTTTACTGGATTTATTCGTTATATATTTTGTTGAATGCACAAAGCTCGCTTTTCAGAGCGCCGAAAATAAACCAAAAAGAACAAAAATTTGTACTTTCAGCTGCTTTTCAAGTGCTTGAAAGTTACTTGATTTATTACACTACTCTCCCACGCTGTCTATTCAAAAATGTCTCTATGTGTATGTGTGTGTGTGTGTGTGTGTGTATGATAGGGAGGAAAAATATTCACCTTAGCCGAATTTATAACTGAGCACATCGGTCTAGCTGCCAGTGTCAGCGACAGCAGGATGGAAAGGTGTGCAAATTACAGGTTCACAATTTGACCACAAGAAAAAA